GACAGTCTGTGCCCTATGTGTCCCCCAGTCTCGGATGGCTGGCTCCGCCACTGTTTATCATTAACTAAGTGAACCTCTATAGAATTATTTATTGGAAAGAGATTAATACGTACACTGATGCATTATTAATAAGGAATTAATTCATGTGACTTCTTTGTGACCTCGGTCCTGTGCGAAAATTGTGCCAATTTTTCGACTTTGGGCCTTAATTACATTCAAGATTAACAATGAAGGTCTAATTGTCAATTACTCGAACACATTCCTCTTTGGAAACTCTCTTATTTTGCAAAATATAAACCAACTATTGTTGAACAGTTTGAAGAAATCACAGAAAAGTCGGAGATGTGTTCGATGTTATTATGTCCTTTCTACGAGTTTGTATACAAACCAGTTGACCGAATTTCTTATCTGAAGAGTAAAAAGAACCAATGGTCACAACCTTTTGAAACGTAGAAGGAGGAAAAAGGATACTCTCCGGGTTAAGGTACGAATAGACCACGTCTATTCGCGGCTTTATATTGGCATTATTTAACTTGACGTTTAACATTTCGAGATTTAAGTGAATCCGTAGTGAACGGGTTAAATTGACCCACATTAATGTATTCACAGACAAGCCTTGTTAAAAATACTCCACATAATACATACCACGTGATAGCTTCACATTTCATCCTTGATTATTTACGGTTTTGCACACGAGATTCACATATCTTCAATGTGAAGCGACATAATGTAAACATGAAAATACTACTAACGTTTTATAGTGGAAATTTATTTTTAGTCGGACTTCAGGTATGTGATCTTTGCAGATAAACAGCGATAATAGCTGTAAAATACAACCTTGTAAAATGTTAAATTCAAGTTTGATACATACTTCTCAATACAATCGCCATCATAGATTAAAGATGGGTTCTCTTATTTTCATTTATAAAAGTGAAAATGCTAATACTTAAATGAATAGTGAGTAGAGGTATTCCAATGACTTTAAAATTTATTAGCATTTATGAATGGTTAGAACTCTTTATTTTATGCAATAAAGATATGATTAAGAATACATGATAATTCTTTAAAAACACCAATTTGTCAAATAGTTTGCTTAATTTGACTCTAAAAAAAACTAAGGAAACCCATTTTTAATGCAAACGCGAAGTCGAACTGTGATCAAAT